TGCCGCGGGAAAGGGAATCCCAGCCCTTCTCTCCCGTTCCTCCTTTCCCTCCTCTTGAACACGTTGGCGTACGCTCTCTCCCCTGTAGCTTCGGCTGTACTGCCAGTACTGCACGGTTTTAGTTAGTCACTAAATAAGCTGCGCTTTATTTAGTGACACTAGTTTTAATGAGACGGAGTATAGAGAGATCGCACGCACAATGATTTAGTTAGGGACGACAAGTAGCGCGAGCTGCATCTACGAGCTTGTGCGATTTCTTCAGCAAATGGTGACCACGTTTATAGCGTCCATCCTTTTGCTAGTACTGCACGCAACTTCGAGTCTTCTCTTCCTACTCGCCGTACTAGTTCGGGTCATCGCGTGAACAACGTGGTGTGACTGACATTGCAATGCAAGACAATCAGCTGTACAATGTGTATTAACGCAGTAAAATCTGTATATCTGTGGACAATTTATATCGGTACGTTTTCCTGCTAGACGACCTGCCGGTTTGAACACGGAAGTCGCCGCCTGCAGCCGACTTTGCATGACGGCCAGGTGCCCCCCTGTTGGAACGGGGCCAGCCGTGCATCGGCGCCTTTTTGTGCACACTGTGGCTGTCTGTCGGGTTTATTGTCTGATCTTTCTTGTTGCCGAAGGCCGCTTCCACGCGCTGAGACGGCGCGTTTCGCACCGGCATCGTGGATTCTCGTTCCAGCTTGAATTGAAAAAAGCAAAAACATTGTGGCGAACAAAAAAAAAAAAAAATTAAGTTAGTTAAAAACAATACGTGCAGGTTACAGTGTAATTACTTTTGATAGATTTTTTAACCACTAATAATTGATTTTTTTTTTGTAGCCTTGGGAGGCTAAAAAAAAGTCACCAAAATGCACAGATTTCGGTGCCCCTTTTATGCAGAGTTTTGTCAAATACAGGCGGCGTTGGTTTTGTCCACTACATATCAGCGCTTTTATTTACGCACAAATTTCTCTAGTTTTTTTTTTTTTTTTTTTTTTTTTTTTTTTTTTTTTTTGTAAGCGACGCGGAAACGGGCGGTGCCTTGGTGGCAAAGTACTCTTGCTTGCGCTTGCACGCAGTTTTCGCAATTTATCCTGAGCGCGATAGCGGTTCGGAAGCGGGAATCTTGTTGCGGTAAAGTGCACATGCTGCCGCTTGTAATTCCGCGAGGTTCTTGCTTTTTTTTTTTTTTTTTTTGTAGTTTGAGTATGTTGTGACAGCAAAAGTGTACACGCTGTGCCTTTGATTGCGCGGGGCTCCTTCACGTTTGCAGGCGCAGGTGGAGCGCTCGTGGTCTGACGCTCGTTCCTTACGGTAGGGGGAAGGTCCGGCCGTGCTGATCTCGCACCGTGCCCTCCGTTTCGAAACTGGGTTAAACTTTGGTCTTGACCGGAACACCCGTGTCTGCATGAGATCTGCACGTCCTCTGCGTATCTGGGAGATAACCCCTCTCCAGAGGCGTTTACTGCGACGTACGCGGTACTGGTCGTTTTAGAGCGCGCCGGGGTCGACTTTCTGGAGTGCCCCTGTTTCAATGGGCGATCGGGGTCAATACGGACGTGTTCCACGCGTTGTTTGGGATCAGCTCCCACTCCTGATCCGGATCTGAAAAAAGTCACTCCGCCTTTTTCGGCGGATTCGGCCGGAAGCCAGCCTGGCCAGCCCTCGGCGCGAACACGTGGCTTCCTTCCTCGCCGGGGCATGTCGCCTCGGGAGAATTCGTAATAGCCGCTCGCGATCGCGGCACTAACAGCACGTGTTCAACGCACGAGCGAACTTAATCACGATATTAAAGGGCCCATGAAACGATTTTTGGGTTGGGATAAATCATTATAGATTGGGATTTTACTAATAGCACATCGTTCAGTGGACCAAAAGAAAAAAGGTAGAAAGTCAAAAGCCTGACTTTCAGTGCGAAAATTTGAAAACAGAGCGGACTATTTCGTACCTCCTCCCCTTCGCAACCTCTCTGCCTTTTCACTGGGATACATCCGCGGTCCCAAAAGCGCGTTATCGGGTCCAAACTGACGTCACACGCAACCGGACCTCACTTATTCCCTTCACCCCTAAGCTGACATTGTGGTGGAAGCTACGCGCTTGCCGGACCAATCAGCCGCCTCCCTTTCATCACCTGGCTTCATTCTCTGCAGCCACATTTGCCACGCTCACGTGGCAAGTGTGGCTGGCCCAACGAGCACGTAGCTTCAGCACTGTCAGCTTCGGAATGAACGGGGTGGGGAAAGCAACTTTTGTCTGAATTTTGAGCGACGGGCTAATCTTCTAGGGGGAGAATGGATGTGTCCGGATTACGCAAACGAGAGTGCGAGCAAGAGGGGACTCCCCCTTTTCGTCGTCTTTAACTGTTTGGTGGAATGCGCGATTTATGAGTTGAGGAGGAAAGCTAAACAGGAAAAAGTTGGAAAAGCGTTTCATGACCCGCTTTAAAGGTGCGGGTCGATAAGAGATGTGTATCAGCGTAGCCCACCTGCCTCTTCGTCGGGAATACTCGTGAAC